TGAGTCCTTTCAGCAGCAGGCGACCAGGGGAGGCAGGTATGTGGAAACCATGCCACATCCAGAAAGAGGTGAATAAATTGGAAATAGGTACCACAGAGAAGGGGTGAGGATGAAGAGAAATAGTCATCAAATTTTTAGAGTTGGAGGGGACTGCAGAGATAACTTACACCATCTCAGTGTTTTCCAGATAAAGGAAAAGAGGCCTGTGATGACCATCTTCAAATAGTTTTCAGGCTGCCAAGTAAAAGGGGGAGCAAATTTGTCCGGTTTTTCCAGAGCAGAATCAGGACCAAAGTGCAGAAGGGTGGAGATTTTGGGTTAACACAATAGTGAAATCCTGAGGTTCCACTTCTCCACTCCCCCTCAACCCCACCCCCGCTTCTGGGCTATGGAGATACTCTGGTAGAGGCCAGATGGCATCCTCCAGGAATGCCAAATCCTGCCCGCCACCAGCTTTTACCTGTCTTCTAGCTGTCCTCTCATCAAGAACCTTTCCATGGGCAGCCTGACAAAGCTAAGCATTCCTGCCTCAGCGTTTTCATCAAACCGTGAGCCTCTCTCTTTCACAGAATTATCACATTGTATGATGGTTCTGTTTCTGTGTTTCTCCCAGCTAGGCCCCCCATGCCAGGGACTGTGTGTATCCACAATGCCCAACATAGTTTTGGGTATATAGTAGGCACTCACTAAATGGTTATGGAGCCAAATTTCCATCAAGTAAAAGTTGACTAAGCAATCTCTTTCAAGTGTAAAATGCTAAGGGCCTCTGCATACAACCAAAGAGCTGAGACCACCAGTAAATGACAATCAACTTCCTCTCTTCTAGGTGGGATTTTCTTCCTTGAAGGCCATTTTATTCCCCAGCCTCAGCCTGGCCCCGCCTTATTCTAATGTGGACACTGTAGATTGATAGTTGCCTATTCTATTCCTTACTCAGGTTAATTACACAGATGAATTTCCAGGTGCATTGAGCAAACTTTGTTTGTAATTATAGTCAGAGATGTAAAAGAAAGACCATAGCTGTGACCATTTTTCATAAAGTCCCTTGTTTAGAGTATCTTTCTTGGTATCATTTCTAGTACTCTCCAATGTGGGTATGACCATCCTGAGGGTGCTCAAGATTATTCATTGATATCAGAGAAAAATGCTGTCTATAAATATGCATATATATGTGCATATATGTGATATGCACATAATTTGCTCAAACTAATATCAAAGATAGGAAGTTTCTTGAACTTTTACTAGTAGACTGATGCGGAAGTCCCCGTCCAAACACCTGGCAGATGGCGTGGCAGGACAGGGCCCGGGGAAGTGGGAACCCCACAACACAGTGGCTCATTTGTTCAGCTGCTTTTAGCATATTTCAATTTATTGCTCTTTTCATGTGCCCACTTAAATGGATTTATCTATTATCTCATTGCAACTAAACTAACCTTCACAGAAAGACACATGGCTTCACAAGGTTCCTCAAAGAAACTGCAGCTTGAAGATAATACTAATCAGGAAAGCACAAGAGAACTTTGAACTCTCTGTCAGTCATATTATGGGGTAAAGCAACAATGACAACCTAATCAGCTCTGTCAGGAAACCAGACCAAAACAATAACTGGAAATTACCCTGGAGATTATTTGAAGTGTGGAACCACAACTTCTAATGAAAAAGTGAAACTTCATCCTAAGGACACATTGTCTTTTGCAATTATTAGTCAGTGATGGTAGAACATGTATAATTTATAAACAAATATATATGCATATATAGGGGCTTCCAAGTTCAAAATTATTTTATTGAGAGGGTGCATAATCACAAGAGTTTAGAGACCACTGGCCTGTTCTTGCTTCTGAAAATATGTTTTATTTCTTTCTGGTCATTCTGATTAATTGTGGAAAACTTGAAATGCATGGTAACATCGAAAAAAATAAAAGGTATCCATATTCTCGCCACCACAAAAGTATTATTTGCATTTGGTGAACTGTCCCTTTTATCATAACCATTTCATATAAAGTGTCTTTCATAGAGGGAGGCTGGCCCTACAGGAATATCTATAGGTCACTTTGTCTAGTCTCCATGGCGTCTAAGAAGGTATGTCAGGAATGCAGCTGAGGTCCTGGTTTTTGAACATTTGCCTAATCCATTTAGGATAAGTTTCACTCTTGGTGGGGGTGCCCAGTGACCTCACCCCAGGTTACACGGTGGGAGCCATATATACCATTCTTACTGAGTAGGAGACGGGTGCAGCAACTCTTGTATTATCTTAATTCTTAAATTAATTAGCCCATTTTAGCCATGGTGACATGACTAAGGAGTCCTGCTTAGATTCTCCAGATGTCATGGGAGCAGTCCTGCTCTGGTTCTCAGTAATCCCCAGGAATTCGGAGCATGTCCATCAGATGCCTTCCTTCAGGGAAGGAAACCAGAGCCGTAGGTTCTGCAGTGATAGCCCCTGCCCTGCCTTATGTCAGCTCTGACAAGTCTCTCGTTACAGAAACCACCCTCGGTTTCACACTCTGAATCTTTTCTAGATGTTTGCTCTTCTTCTCCACAGTAAAACACTAGCTGGTGTTTGAAATAATCTCACCACCCTCAAAAATAACTTCTGACAATTTGGCTTGAAGCAGAACTTTCCCATAGGTTTGGCAGGATTTCCATTTCTGCGGAAGATGAAATGCAGCGTTTCCCCAAGCTTCGGGTCCCACACCCAAAACAGGGAACAGGGCCCTTTTTAAAACCTGGATGTCGCTGCCTGAACCAGGGGGTGCAGAACCAAATTACTGTTTTTATCTTACTCGTTTTATTAGATCCTCATACTATTTCCCCACTTTTTCTCTACTGCATACATACCCAGCAGCCTAGGTTGTTGTCCAGCATTCAGGGTGGGAGGGGGAATTCTTGTACAATACAAAGGCTGAAGAACGCAAATCATGCAATTCAAGTATCAAGCTTCCCTGAGGCAACATTTAAATAGGATCCATTTGATTCACAGTTAGCTTTTTTTTTTAAGGACATTTTTTTACATATACTTTGGATTGTTTTTCAGGAATGAAAATGGATTTTCCTAGAATCACTGCAGGCAAACATGCCCTAGCGACGCCCTCAGCTGACATCAGGGGTGCGTTCCACCGCAAAGCGAAGCGAACAGACCCACTCTGGAAGTGACCCAGGAACCCTGACCTCAAAACCATAGCCATCTAATGAAATAACCCTGAAGCCTCCAAACTCTCAGATTGCTTCCTTCCCCGCCTTAAGCAGTTTTTGCGGACCTTGAACAACAGAAGAGTAAATAAAAAATACAGCAGCAAAATCACCGCACTTGCTGACCCAATGTCCCCCTGGATGCGGCCAAGCTCTGGGCTAAATGGAGCTGAGGAAGGGGTGGGGGTACCGGGGGCCTACATCACCGCGATTGAATGGAACCCCGATTTATTTTTGTGAGTCTCAATCTCAATTACCAAAGAATAATAAGCCACACCCCCTCTTGCCTTTGTCGCCCCACCTTAATGAAGTCCACCACACTCTTTGCTGCCATGCCAATATCTCTACTTTTCCACTGGCATTTTAACTGTTCTTTCAATATATGTGTAATACTACTTGACACCTGAAATTCTTGTGAGTGTAGATTCAAAACACTCGTAAATTATGAATAAGTATAAATAAATGCACTTAAAATTATGGCATAAGTTAGAAGGATAATCAAGATCAAATGTAAAGACATATATCTCTTCCTTTGTCCCACCAACTGTCCAAAAACCACCTTTTAGAACATGAAACCTTTAAGCAAGAAACTGCAGTAGCCTCCAGAGAGGCAGGGGTAGAGGTGTGTTTGAGAAGAGAAAGAGCATAAGAGAGAGTAAGGGACAGAAAGGACTGCTTTTCTTTTACATTTCTGATTCTAAATATGAACATTTTTGGTCTCAGGATTGAAAACAAGGGCAGCTGTTGCCAGGATAGTTTTCTGGTCCTGCGTGGGATTGGGATAGTGAAGCTTTCAACATTACAAAAAAAAAGAAAAAAAAACACGTCATTTTCCTTCTGAACCAGTTCCATGGAAGTTTCCACAGATACTGTTGGGGAGATCAGTCCCAGACACCCAGAAGCCCCAACTCAGAGGAGATGGTTGGAATGCAAATAAAGTTTAAAAACTGGTGGGTGGGGAATCGGATTTCTCTCACACCACATCAGCTGGGACAAAGAGAAGTCAGCTAAACCTTTAACTTAATGCTTTGCCCTCTTTGAAAAGGACAAAGCGCCTACATGTCACACTCTTCACACCCCAGAACCCTACTGGCCTGTTTCAAAGCAAAAAATAATTACTCTTTCAAGGCAAAAAATAATCGAAGGTAGATCTTATTTGGGGCAGACATTATTAATAGGCATCACAAAGGGGACATCAATAGACCAGAACACCCAATTCTGACCTTTTCAGAATGAACTGAGGAGTCTATGAGATGACCACCCAATGGCCTTAGCACAGACTTACTTTCTTAATAAGCAGAAAGCAAACTGAAGGTACAAGTCTTCCTTCCTGGGGCTCTTGGCTTCCTGGCTGCTGTATGATGTCATCTAGTCCCTGATCTACAGTCCTCAGCTGAGGGGACCTCCTAATTTTAACACCTACTTACTCACAAAGCTATAGAATTCACGGACTCTACCCCAAGCCCCAAACAGCCAATTCCATGGTCTCTCAGGAACCAAGGTACGAAGAGTCCAAAGCACACTGACAAAAGCCTTGTCGATGAAGGCATCCCCAGACAGACAGGGGACAGAGGAGCTCTGCCTGGCCCTGGGGGTGGGAGGGATAGACAATGATACCAAGGTGGAATGTGAATTGGCTGATTTCTAAAAAAAACGAATCCTTGATGCATAATCCCTTGTAACCCCCTTAGGCTACTGCGCCACTCCTGTCCCTGAGGCAGCACCCTTGGCCAGGCAGCAGTCACCCTGCAGGTCTCCCTCACACTATCCACGACCCCCACCTTCCCACTCCTCCCCTCCGCCCCCCCTACCTCAATGGTATACTGCTCAAAGATGCGCAGCTGCAGGAAGATGTCCAGCTTGATCTTCCGCTCGTGGAACAGCTCCTCCATCTGCACTTGGGCATCATCCAGCTGCTGCAGGACCGACTCGATGTGGCTGATGGAGCTACTGTGGGGCGTCTTGTTGCTGGACACAGCCGAGTCCCTGTGGCAGAGTGGAAGGAACGAGGGGAGGGGCCCTGCCACGTTAACAGTGATGGGGGAGCAGGGGCCCTCCTTGCCTGAGCAAGGGGGATGCCAATTAGTAGTCATTCAATCGACAGATGTTTATCAAACTCCTACTGTGAGCCGGGTACTATCTGCTTAGGCAGTGAACCAAAGATACACGTATCCTCTTTGGGGTTCACAGCACAGTAGCTCCAAGACTAGCTGTTCTCCTATTCCTCAGACAGAATGGTGAAAAGGATCACACGAAATAATGCATGGGAAAGGGCTCTACAAAGCATAAGAGAGTAGTAGAAAGGGATGGTTCTCACATATATGTAAGTCTAGTATGTATAGCTTAAATACACACACCCATTCACATGCATAAGAGTAGCCACATTAAACACAATGCATAAGCGTAGACAAACTAAAGACATAATTTTAAAAACCCTTCCTAGTTTTATTTCACAGGATGGTTGTTAAAATAAAATGAGATCCTGGCTGCCAAAGTTATTCATCCACTTCATAATGCTATGCCAGTTACAGGCTGGTGTTATTACAATGGGCTTCAAGCTGTAGTTAGAAAAACTTGAGACCTGGAGGCTGCCAGCCTGGGGTCAGTCCCCACTGTGATGTACATGGGCTGGTGGCCTTGGGAAGTCGCCTCCTCGAGCCCCAGTTGCCTCCCTTAAGGTGGACTTCATAATCCCTGCCCTGCTCACTTCATGGTTTGCTGTTAAATAAGACAGTGTGTGAACCTACTCTGTGACCAGGGACGAGCTGTATGGATGACTATTAACCCTGAAAGGGACGAATCAAGTATCAAGTGCTTGACGGGGGCACAGGCCCAACTGGGGAGAGCAGAGGATAGGGCACAAGAGGCTGGGACAACGACAAGGTTTCAAAGAGGGTGAGCTCTGATTTGGGTGTTAGAAGGAGGGACCCAGACGAGTAGATGGGAGGGGTGCACTTTCCAAGTAAGAAGAGTCTGACCGCCAAAGAGAACATTATAATAGGAAAACTGGAGAGTAAGCAGTTTATATTTAAGGGCCTTGAGTAAGCCAGAGCCTTGAAACTTGAAATAAATGGGTACAATCAATATCTTGTGACATCTTGGTTTCTTACACAATTTAAGAAGTCAGAGGACAAGAGGAAAATCCATTAGTGTCTGAATTCTCTCACCAGCAAGCTTTCTGATAACCAGACCTTTTAGCCTGTGCTGGTCTCAAAAGCAATGGTATCAGAGCTTATGCTGTGTTTCTGAGGGGAGCATGAGGCCAGTTGGTCAAAAATCTCTTCTTCCATCATTCAGAGAACTCCCAATTCTACATCTTGTTTGGTCATGAAACCCCACTATGGCATGGACACCCCCAGTCATGAAAGGAACTTAAGAGATGTACTCTTATGCATTATGCATTTGACGAGGACTTTGCTGTTGGGAGGACAGGGCTGCTCTTTCTGACTGCTTCTCTCAGTCTTTCTCCATCACACAGATTCCAGAAGGAAAAGAATAACTTCTACCATTTTGCACAGCACCTGTGCCAGTGTCACCCTCACTAGGAATCATAGTGATGGTGGGAAACCACCGTAGGGACTTCAGTGATGAGTGCCAGACCTAGAGAAGTGGCGACCTAGAGAAGATGTGTGCCCTGGTGTGTGGGAGTGGGAGGCATCGTGCCAAGGTGCTCTAGGCACCATTAACTTCTGTTCTCTTTGACTGGTCTTGAGATCAGGGATGAGAGCCCAGGCAGGAGTCAGGCTCGTGGGGGAATAATTGGTCACCAGTGGGTCTTGGTCACACGCTTATGGTCCTCTCTGAAATCCATGGAACTTAAACTTGTGAAACAGGCATCAGCCATATCATTGCCTCCTCACTCACTGAGTAGCCTCAGCCCTCAGACACTGTGCAAGGTTGGCAGTTGTCAAGAGCACGTGGCACCTCCATAAACCAGCCCCGCAGAGAGTGAAGTTAGCCACGCTTGTGAAAAGTAATTGGAGAGAAAACACAAAGCCATCACAAAACTCTAGAGCTGACAGAGCTCGAAGAGTGAGCCCCTTAATTACACAGACGAATCAGCTGAGACTCAGAGAGGTTAAGTGACTGCCCACTATTTGGAATTTTCTTCCGAAACAAATTAACAGTGGAATTTCCTAGGTAGGCAGACAAAACTGTCATGTATTATATATTCATGAAGATGAATCAGGGGATGAAGGGGAAGAGGCTGTCTTATTAGTATGCAAAACAAGGACTCAGAATATCTCATGTGCACACTTAGAATAGAAATAATTAATTTCCAACAGAAAAACATGCCAGGGCCATTGAAAGGTACGTTCTCATTGTTTATTTAATTGGACAACTGGTGTGGGGCTGGGGGAAGCCCTCTCAATTGAAGCAATTCCTAGAGGCTCCAGAGCTGGCCTGAGACTTGTTGATGAGATTATTTCTGTCTGGGGTTGGCAGAGGTCCCAGCACTCAGCGATTTTGGGATAGAAACAAGTCCCTGTGGGCAGGCATCATTAGCACCATCAAATCCTATTTATACAGCACCTGGGCATACGGCTGGTTGCTGAGGGCTCGATCAAGGCCTCATGACACTGTATCTAAGGAGCTGGTGCCCTTGACAAGAAACGGAAACTCGATATTGATGCCAACAGAAAGGAGGCAACAGTGTGGATGATTCTAAATGAATGTCAGGCTTTAGACAGGATTTTCCTTCTCAGTTATGGTTATTTAGGTTGATACAGAAGGGTTTTTATTTTTTGGCAGCAAGGAATGGTGGAAAGGCCATAAGGGGGTAATAAAGTAGAGAGTGGGACATCACACACTTTATACATTCTCATGGGGCCAAAGCCAACCCTTGTTGGTCACATTTTGCAAACTGGGCCACCGGAGTTTAGAGTTCAGCCTGAGATCAGATACCAAAGAACACTGTATTCCATAACGGCCATTTCTCCACATGACAACATTTGCCATAATTCTTAATGAAGAGGTTGTTTATTTTCTGTTGAACATTGTTCATTTTTGTTATAATTATGTTACTTAGTGATTGCTGAATAATACTGTGAGTAATAAATAAAGCGTTGGAACATTAGAGCTGTTCTGTTCATTATTTCATGTTAAACTCAAGTTGGATACGGTGCAGGCATTTTTATACGTGTCAAATGGAGAAACCGAAGCTCACACAAGACCACAAAGCTGGCTGTGACTGAGCCAAAAGCGGGACATGACTTATCTCGTGGCTAGTCCGGGGCATTTCCCACTGGAAAGCACTGCCCATGCTAACCTGGCCTCGCTGAGCTCCCCCAGGGAGGGAGGCGCTGACCTGAGCTGCTGGATAAGGTCTTCTCCTTCCTTGATGACGTTGAGCGTGGCATCCAGAGTGGCCGTCTGCTGCTGCTGGAACTGCTTGATCAGCTCCTGGACCGCATCCACGGAGTCGGCACAGACATCTTCCAGCATCTCCTTCTGAAGGTCTTCCATCCATGTCCACAGCTGTGGGGAGACAGCAGAGACTCCACTTAGGACAGGTCTGGGGCGAGGGCAAGAAAGTCGGACTGGGCCACCCAATATGACTTTAGTCAGTCAGTGCAATGCCAGGCTGTCCTCATCAGCACACCTGTGGGTCAGATCGTGTTTCTATATTTATATTCATTACCCGTCTCTGCTAAGGTTTATTCCATGAGTGGTGGCATCACCTAAGGACACAACCACCCTTGACTTTAGTTCTCTGTGGTTCAGGGAACCTTGAGATACTGGGAAATACAAGAGACTGTGATAAACAAATATTATATCATCTTGCAGGAAGGAAAAAAGGGAGAGCTCTAAACACTTCCTCCAGATAGCTAGGGGTCGATTCCTAGAAACTTATCATCATTTTACAAATATGTAAAAGAGAATGTGATGCTCAATAAGCACCAAATGAAGATTAAGAAACTGTATTTTACGTTAAATCATTTTGTTCTTTGCAGGATTGCTAGATTGGTTAGAAAGCTGAATGCTCAAGATGTAGCTTATCTTAATTTCAGTATGAGACATTTCCCCCGTGATATGTGAGATGATGAAATGCGGTCAGGATGAAATTACTAGTCAGACAACTTTAAAAGAGTAAGTACAGTGTTTTAAACAGAATAAGCACTGGACATGATGAGGGGTTGAATTGAATTACCGAAAACTCATTTATTGATAGCGCTTCCTTATACTGAAACATTGGTCTCCAGTGGCCTGCCTCAGTGCTCCACTTCTAAACACTCATCCTGAACATTTTCATAAACGATGCTGGGAAGGGTGAGTCTGATGTTTGCTTGGAAAGAAGGAATCTTCACCGGGCTAATAGGAAAGATAAGCTCAGGGCTCTACCAGGAAAAAAGCCAATAGAGAGAAAAAATTAATAGAGTCAGAAGAAGCGGGTTTTGGACCCTGTTCTTCCTATAACTTGTGCTCACCACGATTCTGTGTACAATAGTTTGCAGAACGCATAAAATAAAACTGTTAGCTACCTTCTGGTTCTAACATTCTGTAAGTTAAAAACATGGATAAATATCCACTGCCAGAATATTATTTTATCTAGTTGGTTCTTAGTATGGTAAATCATGGTATGGCCTTTGTAATAACAGGTGAGAAAAGAAACAATAAAGAGAGACAAAAGTAGTCTTCAGATTTTGGACAAGTTATTATTTGTTCCTTAGACAGGGATGGGACTAGATGTGGCAGAAGAGGTTGAGTTAACAAGTTTAATAAGCCCTGGAGGTACAGAATAAGGAGGTATAAAGAATTTCCTTCTTAGACAGGTAAGAACCTCTCTGAGCCTCAGTTTCTCAATCTACAACATGGGAAGAATAAGAACTGCCTTGCTCATATCAAAGATTATGAGGAGTTCATGATTTACTTATTATTAATGCTTTAAATAAATATATAGCATTATTAATAAGCCTATATAGCCTTATGATAATAGTTATAACCAAATTATTATTATTCAGCGTCCCTGTCATTTATCAGCTTGCAATCTGGTTGTCATTAGTTCAGTTTATTTTCTCTACAAATAAGCTTTTTGTTACAAAAACACAAAACAAGTTTTCCAGACCATATAAGCTGGGATACATATTCCTATAAGTAGAAGTGTACTTATTTCAAATTAGAATGAAATCAGGAAGTTGGTCACTATAGGTTAACCATTACTTTATATTTTCTGGCTGCCATTCTGCCATGTAAAAACAAACCATTTTCTAAGTGTGCTGAAGTCCTTGGTTAAGACATAATGGATTCTCTAAAAAAATATTGTATAGAGAGGCAATACAGTATCGTGGTTAAAAGTTTCAAACCCCAGTTTTGGTATGTATTAGCTATATAACCTTGGGTAAGTAACCTACTATCTTTGTATCTCGGTTTTCTTTACCCCCACACAGAGTTGCAAAAATTACTAAGTTGATATATATGTGTGTGTATGTCTGTGTGTATACACACAAATAAATGACATATCTATATCTATATCTCACTTGGAAACAGTGCCTGGCATATAGTAAGTGCTAGATATTATATTTAAGAAATATTTTTGATGCAAGCCCTCTCCAGTTCCCACGAGAAGGCAGAGGGAAAGTTTGAAGCACTCCTTCGTTTTGGACTTGGTAAAAGTTCCACACTGGATTTGGTCCTTCAATATGCTAGGTTGAGCTGGGCCTCTTTTTTCTGTTTTTGCTGCTTTGTCCTGGGATGTCTAAGGAAAGCCTAGAGGCTGGAAAGTTCAGATATTTCTAAAAAAAAAAAAAAAAAGAAAGGGAGATGTGAAGATAAGGAGATGAAAACGGTGGACATGGAGCAGGTTATTTAAGAGAAGAAAAATAAACTTGATGCCTCAATGGAGAACAGGCACTGAGACTGGAAACTGATTAGAATAAGGCTGGCACTGTTACAGCAATGAGAGAAATAGGAAAGAGGCTTATAGGTACCTTAAGGACTTTATTTAATTTTGTTCTCAGTACCACCCTTAAGCTATATTAATGGCTTCAATGCTTGGAGGTCCTTTTTCCGCTCCCCTCCTTAATAAACACTTGAACACCTCTGGTGTATGTTTAGGAAAGGAAGCATAGTTCCTTTCTGAGGAAATCACCATAACTCATGACGCTCTCTCCTCCTCATGGTCATGCAGCTAAATTGTAGGAACAAAGACAAAAATTGCCAAAAAAAAAAAAAAAATGGGGTGGCAGGGGTGGCCGGTTAGCTCAGTTGCTTAGAGCGCAGTGCTCATAACACCAAGGTTGCCGGTTCAATCCTCCCATGGGCCACTGAGCTGCGCCCTCCACAACTAGATTGACAACAACTACTTGACTTGGAGCTGATGGGTCCTGGAAAAACACACTGTTCCCCAATTAGAAAAAAAAAATGGGGTGGCAGTGTCACAAAGAAAAAGACTAGGGAAAGACTAGGGACCTTTGAGGACACACACTGACCTCTGAAGTCATATCATTAGAAAAATGTGTCCTCCCTCCAAATATTCTTTGATTAATGAATTGAAACTGGCTTTTCCTATTTCTGTTCATATATTCTATATTATAAAGAAACTCTTGTCTAAGGCAGAGTTAAAAACCTACTCTGAGGAAATTCAGCTGAGAGATAAACAATCAACAACACACTAGATGCTGCTTGACCCAGTGTTTAGCAGCCTGATAAGGAAAGTCTTCCTTCAAGAAGATAAAATGTCAAAATTGCTAGTGATCAGAAGACATCTGACTCAGAGATAGGGAAGGAGATTACAGAGACAAAGGGTGAGTGACATCTCTCTACTCAAAACAAAGCAAACAAAAAGCCCAGAGGGAAATGAGCTCTGGAATGGAATGGATATTTACTGAGGATAATTCTTGATTCTGCCCTTGCCTGGCTAGTTCTGTAACCAGGGGAAAACGACTTCACTTCAATTACTTCATATTTAAAATGACGTGAGTGTGTGTGTGTGTGTGTGTGTGTGTGTGTGTGTGTGTGTGTACATGTATGTGTGGTTTCTCTAGCTTGTCTCTAAAATCTACTCCAGTTCTAACATACTATGATTTCTCTTCAAAGCTGACGTAAAAAGGCGATAATAGAAATCACCTCTCTAAACTGAAACACGGCAGTCACAGCTTTGACACCAGGACATCCAAAGTCCAGACTGCAGCACCAGTTCGAGGATAACTGTGATACCAAGTTAACACATTATTTACAACCTGGAAAGCTTGAGTGGCAACCCACTTGAAATTCATGAGAAAACATGCACAGTTGCTTCCTGGTGGCAGCAAAATTAAATTGCAGGCTTTGAGGCCTAAAGTGGACAGAAATAAACATCAGTGTCACTAAACTATGAGGAAGGCTCAATATTCCATTTTTCAGGCTGTGATTTTCCTACTATCTGAATGCTCTGTAAGTCTCCTTCTGTGTACGTGTCCATCTGACTTACCTCTGGAGAGCATGCTAGATTGCCTTGAAAAGAATCCAAATCAGAGAGCCGTTTCTATTACTAATTTACTATGCAGGCAGCCAATGAGACCCAGTCAAAAGGATCTCCTACTTCGAGCTACTATAAGCCAATGATTGTAGAACTAGGTAAAATTATGGAGCGAGTGAGGTAGGTAGCTTGGTAGCAGCAACCACATGTTTTTTCCTACTGTTCTTCATTTTGGTTTCTCTCCCCTAGGGTAATCCTCTTTACCTACTGCTTCTCTGGTATCTAACA